GGCTACCACCCCAGGCCTGCCCCGCTCGCCTCTCTGCGGGACTGGCCTTATCAGCTGAGGTCCCTCAGCAGGTCCCCATACCAAAGAGGCCATCCGGCCCACACTGCGCCCTGACAGCCGCCCAGGCCTCACACCAAAAATGGGTTTCCTGGCCGGGCTGTAGCCCTGTCCCTCCATCACAGACCAGCCGGGCCGTGGGGAGTGCGGGCTGCCTCCCCGCTGCCTGCCCTGCTCTCTGGCTGGGGTAGTGGGACAGGCCCTGCTGCAAGGCCCAGCCCGGGCCCCAAGGAGCGGCCCTCGCCCCTTTGCCCCAGTCCACGTCTGCTGGTGGCAGCTGCACCTGAATACAGCAAACCGCCGCCGCACGTGAAAACCTCCCCTCGGCCCAGTCCTGGGAGTTAAAAATCTATCAGGTGGGTATTCTCTCAGTGTAGTCTAGATCTGGCGTGAAAGGTCAGCTCTCCAGTGCCCCCGTGAGATAATCCTCTGTTTTATCAGTAGCACCTTTACCTGAAGTTGATCTCTTCCAGCCAAATCTGGATCTCAGAATATTTGCTGGGACTGATCTTTCCATATTTAACAGCTAAGTTTTCAATATCTCCCAGCTGGCTTTTGCCTGCAGCCAGTTCCATTAAAAAGCTCTAAAATAGAAAAGATACAAGAATGCAGAACTTGAGGCTTTTCCATTTCTACGGGCACAATTCACCATAATCTGTCATATCCACTCATCTCCCACTTTCACAGTTGTCTTCTCCATTTAACTGTACGCTGCCACCATACACACCAGCGCATGTAATTCCCCTATAGCCCTCCTGACCTCCCCTTGTGTGTACACTAATGCCTATACCTGTATGTCCCACTCCACTGGGATGCAAGTGTACTGCAGGATTTTTTCATCACCTGGCATTTTTCTTCAAGTGGCATAAGATAAACCACAAAAAGAGTCCTTTTGTACCATGATATTTGTACAGGATACCGCATCCACAGGAGGAGTTAAAGGGACATAATTACATCAGCTTCAATAGGCTTGGCATGCTGATCTACACACAACTCCATAAACTGAAATGAATGTAAAGACTCTCAGAACTTAATTTCTCAACTTTATCTATTCTTCCAAGGTCAATCTGATTTAAAAAGTGTCACCTGTGAGCAGGGAAAAGGGGTACCTGATATTTCTGCTGCATGACCTCCACATTGTCTGCTTGAGGCTGAATAGTCCGGAAAATGTTCTCTTTATCTTTCATCCATGACTGAAATTCTTCGCAAGAGCTACAGAAGTGGTAATATCCAATCATCTCCTCTAGAGCCTTTTTTCTGTCCTGTAAAACAGATGATGACTTAAGTATTGCTGTAATAAGTCCTTGCTGTTTGAAGAAAAAAAAAGATCCTTGCAATTAAACTACAACACACAGGTGGTAGCTTAGTATTTTTGCCAAACACTGCTGAAAGAGAAGAGAACATGTTAGCTTTAAGACCTTAATGCTTATTCCCAGAGCAACAGTGGTTTAAAATCCTAAGAGAGGCAGTTGGAGAGTGCTCAACTCTTGACAGGCAGCAAAGCCACTGTGGTTCTTGCTGCTGCTGCCTGAAGATTTACCTCAGTAACATCTAAAAGTCCCATAAAACATGTTTTGGCTGGTGTTTAGGGCAGGATTGTGGCAGATGGGAGTGAAAAGTAATAAACGGAGAATGCAGATTACATTGTATATTTTTGTTGGTATCAGGTAAGACAGACCAAAAATTTAGAAGCTGCAGCAAGCAAACATTAGGGGGAAAAAAAAAAAAGATTACACAAAAGAATCCACTCTTCATAAAGTAACAAGACTAGTAAAGTTTGCCAATATAAAATGTGCTTTGATACAAAACTTCAATTATAATCTCAAGCCTTGAAGTTCCATGGGTCCCCACAGGATTGAGGCACATTTTTAAACTACAAAGCAGAAGCCAGCGCAGCACTTAACCTTCCCTTGCACTGCTTTTGATTTAGCTATTTTTGTGAAGCGCAAAGCATTGGAGGGGATACTATACCTCAGCCATGCTCTGTAGATTTTCATAAAGTGAATCTATTTCATCTTGGGTCTTCCATATGTTCTCTGGAAGAAAATGAACATCTGGACCGGAGGTTCCAGGAAATGCAGTTTCAGATGTCGCCCAGGTTCGACTGAATGGTAGCTTAGCTGTCTTTTGATTTAAGTCACTTGGGGCTTCCATCTTCACCATCTGTTACACAAAGTTTAACGTAATAAGTGGATCAATATTTCTAATTTGGATAAAAATCTCACATGGAAGGAAAATCTGGACTTGCTAGTTCAAATCACATTACATCCCTTTAAGCAAAAAATTTCCAGCGTTTGTTTGAATCTGTTTCCTTTGTTTTATTCTGAAAGAATAAACCAAAAACCCTAAAAACATTTTAGTTTTGTTTAAAGAAAAAGTTTCATTTAGCTCATTTTAAAATATATTTATTCACCAAAAATTCTCATTTTGTGCCCATATCAAGGTTGTGGTGGTTTTTTAGCTTTGAAAATTGCCAACAAACCAAGGAACCTACTATGCTCACAAGTTCTATTTGTGATGATGTTCTAGTACCTGAACATTTGCAGTTTCAAAGCCTGTGAGTGACCTAGTGAAGAAATGCTTGTATTTGCACATTGAGACCATCTTGTCACATGCTTTTTCATGCTTAATAACAAAGCAATACAAATTTTGTTTTAATAAAAAATAATGTTGGAACGATGTGATGAGGTAAAGACCCAAAGCAGTGCTCATAGCTCTCAAGCTGGTTTGACTAAATATCGAGTGATCACAGAAGTCTGAAAGAAGCAAGCTATGAAATGTATCATTCATCTCCCCTGACTTTTGTTGTCAAATGAGCTCGAGTCTCAAGTCAAAAGTTCCCTTTCTAGTCAGTGAAAAAGAGGGTCATCTTCATCCCATGTGCCTTAAACGTCCATCCTAGGATGGTATGATTTGTTCCTGGAGATGTGGGATGGTTTAACATTACATTAGGATGCAGAAAAAATTTGTAAGGATATTTATATTAAATGTCTGCTTTTTAAAGCTGATTGAAATGAATACTGATGGGAGAATAAAGAGTGAGAAAGGATTTGTGAGGGCCAATATAAGGAACCAATATAGATGAACATATTTCTAGCATTTCACAGAACACTAACTACACAGGCTATAAATGCCCAATGAACTTTGTCATCTAAAAATTTGCTTCAGTTCTAATTCAAAATTTCTTTTGAATTAAAAAAATATGCTCTTGTTTAGGTAATTTGCAATATTCTAGTCTGTCAAAATAAAAATATTTTACATAATTAAAAACCATTTCATTTACATTCTTCAACAAAATATGATACAATCTCTCATCTACTTACTGCAGCTGGAGCTTGCTCTGCAGCAATTTCAGCCTGCTCTTTCAGGCGTCTCATCTCAGAAGAGTAGGCTGCAATCTCCTTCTCCAGGTGCAAGTGACGATGCAACAGCGCTTCGGCACTCGATTCATCTTTTCCATAGTCCTTGCTGGCCAGAAGGGGCTGCTTTTCTTGCAACCATGAATTTGCTTCATTGATGTCAGCAAAGTACTGAAGGGAACACAGGAGAAGAAAATGCTGGGTTTCATCCTGGAAGTATCATACCCAACTCCTTTCTCTTTTGAAAATAATGAATAAGGCAGAGAAATGCCATTAGGTCTGTAGCTATTAGGCTACTTGCAGGTGTTGTGAAAGCTATGAATAAGGTGGCTCTAGAGGTCTAAATCCATGATGTATTTCACAATCACATCAAGCACAGATAATTCACAGAATCACAGTGAGTAAATAGATTCAAGGATTGCCTCTATAACTCTTTAAAAACTCCTAACTAACTAGAACTTTATAGTGTTTAATAGCAGCAGTAAAAGGAACCCACAATGTACAATGTTGGTAGACACCATGTAATTCTAATAGGTATTTTCTAAAGGTTCCATGAAGTAGTCCAACAATGAACAACAAACTCAGTCTACAACAAAAGCTTTCTTCTTTTTCCCATGATTTGCAGTCTGACTGGCCATGGTTGCAAAAAAGAAACCCAAAACACCAAGATTTTGGGATAGAAAATATAGGTACAACAGAACCGCCCCCCCCCCCCCCACGCA